TTTTTTTTTTTTTTTTGTACCTTTCATTTTGTTTTGTTTCAGTCCTGCTTCCTCTCTTTTCAGTAGTTTGTTAAACCATGAGAGACTAGCATCACTGGGTTCAACTGATTATCAATAAATTGCCTTCAAATCATCACACAGTGGTTCAAAATGGCTAAAAGTGCGCAAAAAATATTTTTTGGTCCGAATCGATTCAGATACTTAAAAAACACCAGAGAACGAAGTCCCCCATGTTTTGAGACCAAAATGAGCAGTTTAATACGCCAAAATATGAAAAAAGCCCTGTAAAAAGGAAAAAAACGGCAAAATAAAAAAGTTACTCGTTCGCTAGAAATATGACGATTACAGATTCGGATTCCTCGTGAAAATTTGATCAAGAATCATCAATAAAAAGCGTGGCACTTTGAGATATGGTGCTTTAAAACAATGGAAATTGTCCAAAAACGCTCCAAAAATATAGAAATGCTTCAAAATAAAAAAGTTACTCGTTCGCTAAAAATATGGCGATTACAGATTCGGATTCCTCGTGAAAAGTTGATCAACAATCATCCATAAAAAGCGTGGCACTTTGAGATATGGTGCTTTAAAAAAAATGGAAATTGTCCAAAAACGCTCCAAAAATATAGAAATGCTTCAAAATAAAAAAGTTACTCGTTCGCTAGAAATATGGCGATCACAGATTCGGATTCCTCGTGAAAAGTTAAATAAGAATCATCAATAAAAAGCGTGGCACTTTGGGATATGGTGCTTTTAAAAAATGGAAATTGTCAAAATACACTGATTGTTTGTATGTTTATGTCTGTTGTTTGATAATTCGTCACCATTTCTCAAAGTGCCATGCTTTTTATTGCTGATTCTCGATCAACTTTTCACGAGGAATCCGAATCTGTAATCGCCATATTTCTAGCGAACGAGTAACTTTTTTATTTTGAAGTATTTCTATATTTTTGGAGCGTTTTTGGACAATTTCCATTCTTTTAAAGCACCATATCTCAAAGTGCCAAGCTTTTTATTGATGATTCTTGATCAACTTTTCACGAGGAATCCGAATCTGTAATCGCCATATTTCTAGCGAACGAGTAACTTTTTTATTTTGAAGCATTTCTATATTTTTGGAGCGTTTTTGGACAATTTCCATTGTTTTAAAGCACCATATCTCAAAGTGCCACGCTTTTTATTGATGATTCTTGATCAACTTTTCACGAGGAATCCGAATCTGTAGTCGTCATATTTCTAGCGAACGAGTAACTTTTTTATTTTGCCTTTTTTTTCCTTTTTAAAGGGCTTTTTTCATATTTTGGCGTATTAAACTGCTCATTTTGGTCTCAAAACATGGGGGACTTCGTTCTCTGGTGTTTTTTAAGTATTTGAATCGATTCGGACCAAAAAAATTTTTTTGCGCATTTTTAGCCATTTTGAACCACTGTGGCATCAGCTGCTTTTTGTTTTTAGAATTCAGTTCTATTTTTATTTGGTAAGTCTCATCCCCTCTTATCATTTAGATACTCTACTTAGTACAATAATTTTGAATGCTTTTCTTTTTTGGTTGCAGCTTCTTCTGTTTTTACTGTTTTGTTTTGCTGTGGGGTCAAGTCTTGTAAAGGTCCCACATTTAAGGAATGCATTTCCAATTCTACTTGATTAGGTTTATCCAATCAAACCTACTTGGCATAACCCACAGAGTGAAACTGATATTTTGATATTTATTACTAGAGGTATGTTTTCTTACTTTAAACCTGACACTTAACTTGTCAAGTAATTTTAGATTCATTCCTTTTATCCATGTATGTTTATTGCCTCAGGCAGACCTCTATCCTGGTTACATCAAAAGAGATTCAAAAAAGGGACCTAAATATAGCTTATGGACATTTTAGATAGATGTATCAATGTAGTTGACATCCTACCTTCTACTTTCGTATTAATAAGGAAATGTCTTTATTTGTACTCAGCAAGAAAATATGCATTGAATTTTGAAAAGTTCTATTTCAATGATAAATTTTTAATCACATATGAATAAGGAAATGAATTAACCATCAAGACAGCTACCAACTCAATAGACTATACATCTTACAGTAAGTTACTTTGCTTTATTTTATTTTTTTACATCCTGTGCCCTTGACGAACTTTAACTTGAAGGTTTGAATTCTATCTCCACAGCGTATAAGGACTCCTGCACTAGTCCCCATGTCATATGGTAGGCGGTTGAGGGGGACCCACTTTCCTCTCTGGTTCTTCAAGTGGAATTGAACCTCTCCCATCCAGGGGGAAGAAAATACACATCTTACAGTAAGTAACACTCAAAAGAACTGACATATTTTTTTATTACAGCCAGTTCAGTTGAGAGCTCCATACCTAAAGATTTTAATTCTCTCTCCACAGTCTTGGTAGCTTTGAGGGACTTTCTACCTGTCTCCAGTGGTCTGATGATGTCGCCTGAATGGTCCTAGTTTCCTCTCTGGCTGTCGAGGTGGAAGCGATCCTTTAGCATCCAGGGGGAAGAGAGTACTCATCTTACAGTAAGTAACACTCAAAAGAACTGACCTTTTTTTTAATACAGCCAGTTCAGTTGAGAGCTCCATACCTAAAGATTTTAATTCTCTCTCCACAGTCTTGGTAGCTTCGAGGGACTTTCTACCTGTCTCCAGTGGTCTGATGGTGTCGCCTGAATGGTCCTAGTTTCCTCTCTCGCTGTCGAAGTGGAAGCGATCCTTTAGCATCCAGGGGGAAGAGAGTACTCATCTTACGGTAAGTAACACTCAAAAGAACTGACCTATTTTTTTATACAGCCAGTTCAGTTGAGAGCTCCATACCTAAAGATTTTAATTCTCTCTCCACAGTCTTGGTAGCTTTGAGGGACTTTCTTCCTGTCTCCAGTGGTCTGATGATTTCGCCTCAATGGTCCTAGTTTCCTCTCTGGCTGTCGAGGTGGAAGCGATCCTTTAGCATCCAGGGGGAAGAGAGTACTCATCTTATGGTAAGTAACACTCAAAAGAACTGACCTATTTTTTTATACAGCCAGTTCAGTTGAGAGCTCCATACCTAAAGATTTTAATTCTCTCTCCACAGCCTTGGTAGCTCCTCTCCTGGGTCCAGTCCGCAATTCGTCGGGTTGTTGTTCTCTAAAGGGCCCCTATCTCCTCTGTTTCTCACTGATGAAATCTAGTTGTTAGGAGGAAAAAAAAACAACAATTAGTATTGGTAAGCATTTAAACTGATAAGTGAGGCTGAAACTATTGAAA